AAAAAAAAAAAAAAAAAACTACCTAACGTAAACTGTAAACCGAAAACTTGGCTTCTTCAGCTAAATGATCGTCGATCGTCAATTTGGGCATCATTAGGAGTTGTTGTTTTTTGTTTTTTTATACATATTTGATTAGAGACCCAGCCGAACCCTTTTTTTGTTTTTTTTTTTTTTTTTTTTTTTTTTTTTGTACTCTGACCGGCTGCCAAATCGATTAGCAGGCGGATCTAACTTTTGATTTTTGCCACGGTAGTTGTAAGGTGTAAATAATTCAATCAATCATTTGTCAACAGTTTTTGGCTTCCGTTTCGATATGAAAACACACAACACGTTTCACAATTCAGGGTCAGGCACAAGCCTTTCGCCCCCTCCGCTGCGCTCTCTCATCTCACGCTGCTGTCTGTCTCTCAATCTGCCATCCTGATTGCAGCAGCAGCAGCACCAGCAGCAGCAACTTCTGAAAACCCGCCTCCATTCAATTGTCAGCCAGTCGAGCGCTGTGGAGTAAATCAATCTGCCAGGTGGATAGCCAAACAGCTGCGACTGGTGAAAGGTGTGAAAGGATTTTGGATGCATGGGCTTTAGCGTAGCGTAAGGGGGGCGGGATGGAGGGGTGAGGCTAATGCACTCTGATAAGGCTCAGCTGGGAGTCGTAATAGATCATAGATGAGTAAAGAATTGCTTGTCGAAAATCTTTAGTAATCTCTGATCAATTCGATTGCCATCAAATGATTAATCAATTGTGGAATTTTATTTATTTTCTATAGAATAGAGACATTTAGACAACAGGAGAAAATATTTCTATATTGCATATAAATTTGCGAGTTTTCAATATTGTCTTTTTCTTTTCACTTCTTTTATTAATACAAAAAATATGCATTCCAATAGAGGTAGATATCCTATTTTCATTTAATTGAATTATTATTTCAAAGAAATGTATAAATCAAATATAGCTCCTATGAAAAGAGGATTCAGCAATGGAGACTTAAATAATATGAATTCTTATTAATGAAAATATTAGTAGAATTATTTGTCCTAATCAAAAAAGAACTATAGGTCTAATGTAAAAAAAAATCTAATATTTCCATTAAAAAGAGTGGAAGTTTTTACTACGAAACTATGTTGACAAACTTAAATAAAAATATATGCTTTAAAAAATATTTTTATAATATTCGATTTATCAAAAAATAAATAAAT